GGACTGGGCAAACCAGGCCACTTTAAGGGGCTGTTAACTGAAGACATGGGTTATTCTTGGAAAACAGCAGTCCTGCTGTGTAGGAGCAAGTGAGGCCACATGGATAAACCACTGTGAGGGGAAGGGGTGGGTGGAACGCCTTCAGCCTGCTTGTTTTCATATTGCACCAACAACCCTGGCTTATGCTTCTCTGAAACGTTTTTCTCCAGAGGCCTGAAGGACTTGGAAAGTCACTGGAGACCTTACGGTGGACTTCTGATGCCTAGGAATAGGACTGTGGAATCTTTTTTTGCTGAAGCAAGGATTTTCACAAAATAAAAATACAAGTGTGATTTTTTTTGAAACTAGACCAAGTTGGGATTTTTTCCAGTGGAATTCTTTTCCTCCCCCCTCCCAAACTTTTTTTTTTTTTTTAATCACTCCAGACTGTTTCTAACAAAAAGTTTTTGAGGTATTTTTTTCTCTATTTCATAAGCCTCTTCTGGGCTGTTTGTGTTCGAAGTAGCCACGTGCCTAATTGTTTCCTACTAAGGCTAAGCTGTGACTCACACGTATAAATTGCTTTTGTACATTCCCTGATAAGACGTCGTCTAAGCTCTAACCAAGATTTGCAACATTCCCACAGGAGGGAAAAACCCCAGCCAGCTCTCCCATGCAAGAGCTGTTCATGGTGGAGGTTTGTGCAGAGGAAAGCACCGGCACTGCTGGCTCCGGGCCGCAGCCTCCCTCTGCTGCCAGCTCCGCTTGCCAGGCTCACTGATGAAGGATGTGTGAGATAGCGGCTGTGCTCACATTCCTGCTCCCAACCGCTGCTTCCTGTGCTGGACATGGCAGCCTGGCCCTTCCAGTTAGGGGAGAGGAGAGAGAGATTCAGCTCCAGGGCAAGCTGCTGACAACAGAGGAGACTGTTCTGAAAGAAAAGGTATTTCAACAACCTCATTTACTGGCCAGGCCACAGTAGGGCTGGGAAGCTACGTCTGTGCCAGAGAGGAGGAGAGACTGGAAATACAGCCCCCAGTGGGGGAACATCTGCCATCAGCAGGTGCCAAAGGGGAGAGGGAAACAACTACCTGACCAGCTCTTGGTGAAGCAAGAAAGACACAGGCTAGAAGCCCAGATCCCATATGTACCACACTGGGTGGCTGGACTAGGGGAGCAGTGTTATTCGGTGTATTTTTGTCTGGCCACTCCTCTCTGTTTCAGCTCGGCCTGGCAAGCGTCAGGTTACCTGGCACGGGGCATAACCTCAGCAGGAGGGCACAGAGCTCTTGGCTGCTGAGGCAGACGGCCTGGCGCTTTCACTGCAGAGCCCAGGGACCTGGAGCAAAGAGAAAACACCTCCCAGCCGCTAAAACTGCTGCATAACTGAAAGCCAGGTTGTTTTCACACTTGCAGATGCCTTAGACGGTACTTAAACTTTGTAGCCAGGCATCTAGTGTGGACTGCGGCATTTCTCAACAGTTTCGATGACCCAGCTCAAGTGCCAGTGGTTGCAAGTAACATTTCTAATTAGTGTTTAATCACACCTTTTCCTTTCAAACAAAAACCCAAGGTGTTTCTTGGCCCCTCTTTGCTAGGGCATTCCTTCATGTTAGAAGAGGTGTTGGTGTTAGGCCAGGCGAGACAGGGCACACACAACACCAGCCTGCCCGCTGTGAGTAAACTGGTAAGATTTCCTCCAGCAAGGGTTAGTGGTGTTAAACACAAACCTCCGTGTTGGATATGAAGTTTTGTTGGTTAATGAAGCTCCTACAGGTCATGTTCTAACAAGAGGTCTGGGGACTTTCAGGGTTTTGTGGTTTGGTTTTTTTTTTCTTAATGGTAAGGCCCTCAGCTGGTTCCAATGATGTCTTTCAGCCCTTCACTGCTGCTGTTAGCATCAGGCACACTGGGGTCAATGATAGGAAAGAAAAAATAAAAAAGGTAAGAACTAGAAGAAGGATTTTTCTAGTACAAGTATTCTGTAGCTAAATCAAAATGAACAGGGACCCCCAATTGGTTTTGTTTCTTTTAAAATTTCAAACAATTTCAGAAAGTATTGATTTTACTCTTAAATGACTTCAGTTCCCTCCCACACATGCAGTGTCTCTAATAGCAATAATGTTATTGTGAAGAATCAAGTTGATAAAGACCTTCATAGCTCACCTGCTTCACTCCACAGGACCAATTTTATGTAGTTACCTTAGGGAAAAAAAGCACCAACATGGGTAAACAGCACTGGAATGAATCAAACCTGCTTGCAGGTGAGCCAGGACCAAATGAACGTTACAGCGTAAAACAGGTAGGAGAAGCTCAATGTAGAAGAGGCAGTGCCAAGCACTGACTCCTGGAAACACCCCAGGGGGGATTTCAAGGCCATCTTCAGGTTTTTCTTCCTGCAAATGGGAGAGGGCAACTCAAATTGTTTCCTTCAGCCTGTATCCATTCTGGCTTGGTGTGACTGCCTCCTCCCAGCAGAGAAGGATGTGGCAGTCACTACCGTGTTTTTTGCTTTTTGGCTGCAGGGAAATACTCCTTTTGCTCCCCACCTCCCCTCAGGAGCTCCAGCATCAGCTGCATGTGGCCGTACCAGACTAACTCCTTCTGGATGCAGGAGATGGTAAAAACGCATCCGAGCGCTCTGTCTGGCTTGCAGGATCTGGGTGGCTGCTAGGGAATCGCTTTTCTGTAGCCATGTGGAGAGGGGCCAGCAGGCGCAAAAGCCGCAGGAGCCTGCCAGTGAGCAGCAGAAACAGTCACCGGACGGGGGCCAAACAACAGATTTATTTGCAAGAAAGGAGCACAAGGCGCCCAGCAACGGGGACGAGACTGGTATGTGTTGGCACAGCCTGCCCCCCCACGCGGGGATGCGCTGGCTTCCTGCAGACACACGGGGCCATCTCTGAGAAGTAGCCGGCCCCTCGCAGCCCGGATGCAGCCCGCTCCCTTGGACCACGTTCCACACCGCAGCTCAGATCTGCCTTCCAGCCCCCCGCCCCTCCTCAAGCCATTTTAGTTCATGCCAGCGAGGGGAAAATGCTTTACCAGCTGTTCGTCTTCAAAGTCTGACTCATTATTTTTATTTCAGCTGTCGCCAAGCAATAGTGAAAATCCCAACACACCAGCATATTCACTGCTGCAAACCATCTTGTCCTCAGCCACCAGAGAAAAAACAGCTCGTCTCCAGTTCTCCGCAGTGTGCGATGCTACATCTTCTGCAAAAAGACAGAAAGGAGGGAAAGGGTACGGTTGGCTTCTGAAGGTGACCTTGGTCATCGACATGCACGGCATCCAGGCAAAAAAACTTGTAGCCTCTGGAAATGGAGGAATGGGGCTTGAGCCTGAGGGTGCCCCCACCTACAGGTGATGGAAACAACGGGGGTGGTGCTGCCCACGGTCGGGCCCTCTTCTGCCCCTCTAAGTCCCCAGTCTAGCACTGAACCAGGGTTCAGAGCCGTTGTTTGCACCAGTCTATGGTGTACCCTGCTTGTCTCCAGCCTCATGAAAATGGGGCATGCCACCATTTACTCCACATGCTTTTCTTGCCTGCTCCTTATAACCACCCTCAGAGGCTCACTCCTGGTGTGTCCCCAACACCCTTGACAGTGTTACACAGCACTGGTAGCCTTCACCAGTGGTTTACTCTTGGCTCCCTTTGCCTGTTTACTCCCCTCCTCCTACCCATTCCTGCTCGCCTACCAGAAGACTCATGTTTTCCCTTCTTCCTCCCTCCAGCTGGGAACCCATTTGAATGCCTGTGACTGTACTACTCTATGTGTATACATTAAAAAAACAGGATCACCAAATGGGGAAACACCTCTAGAGCTGCTGTTTTAAAACTACAGCACGACTCCAGCCAGACGGAAGACATTTTGCACTAACCTCATCATTGCTACCAAGTGTATTCCAAACGCAGCCCTTGTTGTATAAATTGCTGTAGTTAGCAACACTCCAGCAGGAGAAGGTATATATTTAAAAACTGACAATGCAAATGAAGTGGCTGCAGCTTATATTACGGGTGACTCACGGTGAGGCCCCAGTTGAAGGGATCCAGTGAAGTCTCCTAGGCTGCAGGCGTAGCCTTACCCCTGGCACACCCATCTGCAAAGCGACCGGTGATGCAGCAGGGTTGGGGTGCTGTGGGGGGAAAATTAAAGTGTCACCAAAATCAGACAGAGTGGGGCTACATGGAAGTGTCACTAAAATCGAAGTGGGGCTACATGGTAATTTCTTCTTTTCTTGCAAAACAATGGCATACGTGAGCCTTGTTTATACTCAAGGGCTATAGCAAATCCCTCAGAGCAGGGTGACCTTTGGAGGCTCAGGCCCCTTGCAGGCATTAATTTAATTTAACGATGAAGCCCCAGGGCCAGGCAAGGCAGTGAGAGCCCAAGCCAGGGAAAGGGCGGGGGACCAGCCCTGCAGATTGCTGGGCCATGGGCTGGCACAGCAAAACTCGCCTTTTCTTTTTTTCCTTAACATAAGGTCAACAAGCTAAATATTTAAACCACTTGGGAACTCTTGTTTCCACTGAAAATTTTAACTTTTTTTTATTTTTTTTTTTCTGAAAGAAGAGGAAAAAAAAGAATCCAGCATCTTTGGCCAACACCAATAAAACATTTTCAGACAGAATTCGCTTCTTGACACACACACACAAAATGTTCTTCTGGGACAGAAAATGGAAGCTTGTTTTTTTTTTATGGATTGTGGTTTTATGTCCCAAGTGATTTGGGGTTTTCTGCTTAGAAAATACATAAAAACTAAAGGAAAAAAAAAAAGAACAAAACAAAACCAGACTTCCTCTTAAGTTTTTATTGTGGCCAAACGTTGTTTTTCTCATGAGGATAAAAAAGCTCTGCTTGACATGTTTTTTCCAGACTGTTCAAGGAGGCAGCGCTGTGCCAGCCCCCTCAGGACGCCGGGCAGCTCCAGGGGCGGCCGTCGCGGTGCACCCTGGGAGCTGTAATTTCC